ATTATTATATTAATTTGATATTTTATTTAAATTTTATTAATATTTAAATTTTATAAATCTGAAGATAGTAAATCATTTAAACTTGTTTATATTTTTTGATATCAAGAAGAAGGTGAATTATAAAGATGTCAAAAATCAAAATTACTTAAACAGTATAGTTGTATACCAATATATAGTATAGATAAAAGTATACATATAGTTTCAAGATTTGATAAAACAAATTAATATTTAGTAAATAATTAAATATTTTAATTTTAATATATAAATCAAATAAGATTTATTAATGTTAAAATTAAATAAATTGGTTTCTAACAATAGATTTCATTAAATTGTTATAAATAAAAACCTAATAATCTAATACAATATAGTTTATATTAATATTAATATAAATCAATTATAAACAATTTTTTTTTGATATAAATTATTAGAATACATTACTATCAATATATATTGATTAATTATATTTTATTACTAGCAATTATAGGTTGGCTATCAATAAAAACTTTCTAAAAAATTTTTCTGATAACAATAAATAGTAGACCAATATATATAGTCATATATTGTATATCTTACTATTGATTATACAATATTTTATATTTACTTTATCAATAAAAATTATAAAAAGTATTTCACCTTAATATTAAAAACAAAATTATAAACAAAACCTTCCAACTTATATATCTTTATATTTGAATTCCAAGAAACAAAACTATAATTACAAAGGAAGAATTTCTTGATATCTTATAAAACACTAAATATTAAAAAAATATCAATAACAAAATAAGAAAAAAAATCTAATCAATATTAACAAAACATAAAAACTAATTTAACAACCAAAAACAAACTTATACAACAGAACAAACTAACTAATAATTCTTTTCTTAAAACCTCTCCATGCCCTTTCATAATTGAATAAATTATTAAGAAGGCATTAGCTTTTTAATATTATGTAGTTACTTTCTTTTTTCTTGCCCAAAGGTTTTTTTATAAAAATATATCTAATACAATGGTAGGCAGACATATATAACAATGTATCTTACATCTTAATATTAATCATGTAATGACCTTACTCTATTAATAAAGATTGTGAAAAATGTCTTATTTAACATTAAAAAAAAGAATATAATATTGAAATATGTTGCATAACAATAATATAATAATTGGTTATAAAAATAAATAAATAAATAAATAAAAATAAAATAAATCATACAAACAATACCCTAGACCTCTGTTTCAATGTCAAATACTACAAATTTTTTTAACGTTAGGCAAACCAGAAGGGAAGGTTCTTCTTTAGAGAAGTTCTTCAGTGATACATGATTTTTTTCTCGGACGGGATTAAGTTTGCAATAGAAATTTTACACTTTTATCAAAATAGAGGAATAAATATACCCTAAAGATGAAAATAATCAATAAATATGAATCCGTTTTGTAAAGTGATGATAGATTGCCGCAATAGTTATACTCTTGAAGATCGAATAGTATGTCGCCTGTGCAGACTCGTTTATTACTTTTGCTCAACACTATTTTAACTAAGTTGCATCAAAGCTTGATCCGAGTTGGTTTTTTGTTAAGAAAAACATTGGGGTAGCAACAGGCACAAAATGCCGTTTATATGTTGACATGTCAAACACATGAAGTGACCGATTGAGCGAGAAAATCACGAAAATATTCAATAGACATTTTTAAATTTTAAGGTAGGACGCTTTTGAATATATTTGGATTCTTTATTTTTAAATTCAGACTGAAATTGCATTAAGGAGTCACGATGTTAAATTCGTTAGCAAAATTGTGAATTTAAACTGATATCACAAAAAACCACAATATGTGATTTTTTAAAAAGACGTGATGGTAAAAGACAATAATAAAACAAAATGTAAAATTACTTCTTCTAGCTTGTATACTTTCTATTTAAAGCATCGTCTCAGACAACTGTAACGATAGAAAGAAACATAACAACATTAAATCGAATATAAAATAATAAAAATCAATGGATGCTTATTTTTTTTTATTTTTTTACATTGTGAATATGAGAAAACATTTGTTCGTATTTTCTGGGAAGCTCTAATTGTTACGCCTATATAATGTGCTTATTTATAAACATATTGATTTCAATTTTTCAATATTGCATACTTGCGTTATCTACTGTAACTTTAAACAACTGACATAATATTTTATTAAAAATTCAAGTTAATTAGAAAAGAATTTTTATGCTGAACCTCAGATAGGGCCTTTTTTGAATCCCCAAACGGATTGTGACTTATATTTAAATTGATCAGTGTAGTTTTCTTGCACAGGGAATCAGCCAATGCTTGCCCCGCCAATTTTCCTAGTGCGTTGACACTTATGTCTAAGTTGATCAAGGTGGTATTCTTGCACAAGGCCTCAGCAAATGCTATTCCTGCCGACTCTCCTAGTTTATTCGAATACAGGTTTAAATTGGTAAGAGTTTTATTCGTGCATAACGCATCAGCTAGTGCTTTTCCTGACGGCTCTCCTAACTGGTTGTTTTCAAGACTCAAATGAGTCAATGTAGTATTTTTAAATAATGCACTAGCCAATAACTTTCCTGAAACATCCCCCAGTTGATTATGACACAGATGTAAATGCGTCAGTGAAGTATTTTTGCACAGGACAATGGCTAGTTCATTCCCTATCGAACTTCCCAGTTGATTATATTGCAGATTCAAATTGGTCAAGGTGTCATTTTCGCATAGAGCAGATATCAGTTTCCTTCCCGCTGCGTCGCCCAAATTATTTTCATAAAAATTCAAGCTGTTAAGAGTATTATTCGTGCATAAAGCCTCAGATAGTTCTATTGCAGTCGATTCTCCAAAATTATTGGATCCTAAATCTAAAATTGCTAAATTTTTATTCTTGCACAAAGAACAAGCCAATGATTTTCCTGTAGAATCAGCCAATTGATTGTTTTTTAGATTCAAGTTAGTCAGAGTGGTATTCAAAATTAGAGCATCGGCTAGCACTTTTCCAGCAGAGTCACCTAGTTGATTGTTTTCTAGACTCAAGTCAGCCAATGTAGTGTTCGTAAATAGAGCTTCGGCTAGTGCTTTTCCTGTCAAGTCACCTAGCTGATTATTACTTAAGTTTAACTTGACCAAAGTAGCATTGTTAGATAGAACCAAGGCGAGAGCTTTTCCCGAAGAATCGCTGAGATTATTATTACTCAGATTCAAGTCAATTAGGCTAGAATTCTTGCAAAGAGCATTGGCTAATGCCTTTATTGTTAAATCTCCTAGTCGATTGTCATTTAGATTCAACATTTTTAGAGTTTTGTTATTGCATAGCGAATATGCTAATGCTTTTCCTGCAACAGAGCCTAGTTGATTGCTCTCTAGATTCAGTTCAGATAGGGTGACATTCCTGCATAATGCTACGGTCAGTCCTTTTACAGCATTATCATCCAAGTTTTTATTGCATAAATTAAAATTAGTTAGGGTAGAATTTCCGCATAGAATATTGGCTAATGTTTCTCCTACGTTCTCCACGCTATCCAAGTTCAAATCTTGTATTGAATTATTATCAAAAGAAAAAACATCTAATTGTAATTTCGAATGTTAATTAATGTCTTAATTGAATGAGTTTTATTAAATGTCGCGTGATAAACGGTTTACCTTCTTTAGTTAAATTACCTTCTATTTATTTAAAAATTGTGATATTTAATACCTTCACAAATTATAGGTAATGTTAAATAACAATACAAATCACTTTTAATTACCAGAATCTAGTCCAGCCGTGTTGTGACAATTATTCGATTTTCTTTGTTTTATCTGGCCTGGAGTACATGGTCATATCAGCTTAACAGGAAATCAAATTTGTCAATACCTAAGTTCATACTTACTAGTTTTTTCGTTCAAAAGAAAATCATTAGAGCGTTTTAATGAAATCGATGAACCTTCACCACGGTATAAATTGTCTGAGCTTTTAGTAATAAGCTCCGAACTGAATATAATCATATCCGTTAGCTAATCATATATTTCTTAATGTTACAATTTAAATGTTAAAATGCTACTTACGCATCTTTCACAATATCAAAAGAACAAATATCTACAAAAAGAGAGTTACCTGAGATATAAATCAGAATTTCTTTTTATTAACAAATAAAATAAATCAATTACTTGAAAATTTTGCGCCTGTAAGTAAATTCAAAGTATAACTTGTAGTTTCAATAATAGGATCTAATAATCGACTAAAGGATGTACATGGCGGAAGCATTGTTCTTTGTTCCCTTACAAATTTCTTAGATTTAATTTCTCGTAATTTTTTTTCCGCATCATAAAATACACCGCTAAATTCCCAATCGGGAGAATTTACTTCTTTAGATATTTCATCGATTGATGGCCTCTGCAAAGGATCTGGATGCCAGCATTTTTCCATTAAGCTAGCCCACAATTCCGGTGTATCTTCAGTAATTTCGGGACGTAGTCCCCTACATATATCCAGCGCAAGATTAACATCATACGCTCTATCATAAAAAGGACGATATCCTGTCGTAAGCTCCCACATAATCATGCCTAAACTATAAATATCAGAACTAAATGTAAATTGATTTTTATCAAATATTTCTGGCGCAATGTATGGCATAATTCCATATACACTTGAACCTGGATCCTCATTTGCAGGTCGACTAAACCCCAAATCGGCAATTAACGAATCGTGATTTCCGCGTATTAGTATGTTTCCACTGTGAATATCACGATGTATAAGATTTTTCTGATGGATCCATTTAATTCCCATAACAAGGCTTTTCAGAAAATTGACTTTTGACCCTTTTCTTCCTCCCCAATCCACCCATTTGATATCATCAAAATTACTGGATAAATACTCACGCAAGCTTCCATGCGCCATATAAGGCATAGCAAATATATAATTTTTTGTTCTTGGATCTTGCGACACCCCATAATATCGAACGAAATAACGATTTGAGAATTTAGGTTGAGTTAAAACAATATTTTTCAGCTAAGAGGAAAGTAAATAACATATTAATAAAAATATTGATTGTTGGATGAAATGAAACTTCGCTTTACCTCCTTTATAAAGTCGGAATTAATATTACGAGAATCTTTAAGAATCTTTAACACAATAGTTTCGCAACCTGCTCGTTTAAATTCCTTCCCAGACCAACTTAAAACTCTCCCTTTTGCCCATGATGCAGTAAACACCATGCTAAAGCCGCCTTCTGTAATTTTCTGGATATCACTAAAATCTTCAAATGGAATCCATTCTAACCTAAAATTCGGACTGTTACTATGTGTTGCTTTAATTAGATTGTCTATATCTAAATTTCCGCTATTAGCGGGCTGAAAGTGCGCAGAATAACAACTAGTACACAGGCCTCCGTTCTCATGTTTAAGGCTTCTTTTTTTATTACACGCGGAACATTTTTCGTATTTTTTTTTAATATCTTCATTCATATCTACGAGAACCCATTGAAAAGAACTGTTTACGAAAATTGGAATACAGTAAATATTAAATGCTGATCACCAATATAATGTGACCTCACACAAAATGCACAGAAACAGGAAATGTCAAAGTGATAAACACGTGACTTAAGCAGATAATGATAGGAATTTTGCCATGGTTTTTGCGCTTTATTTTTTCGATTAATTATGATTTCATTAATTACGCTTCTTTTGAATCTTATACAAGCATTGCATATTTACTCCTTTACAGGAAAGGAAATGTTTTCCATTAAGTTATATTTTACTGTTTAAATTTTTCAGCAAGTCAAACCATTATCAATAAATTTATTTTTTAATTTCAATATAGGCGACATAAGATTCATAAATTTAATAAAACCCAAATCAAGCGTTTAATTTTGTGGATGTGAAGAAACATCACCAAGATTTTCACATAAAATCAATTAAATTTAAATATAATATAATAGAAAATTAATAGATAACCTTATTTTATAGCGCGCGGATGTTAAATATAAGTTTAAGAAATATCCAATCCATCATCCATTTTACAATCGGATTTTTAGATTATCCTATAAACTAAACCTTTTACGTAACATTATATTTATTTACAGCATATCTTGCGTTAAATAATTATATAACAATATGATTTTTGATAATTCTAGGATTTTTATTTGTATTTAGTACGCATTATTAAATAATTAATAAAATATTGTTTTAAATTAATACATAAAAACATTTTATCAAATAGAATTTATTTTTAGTTTGACTAGTTTGAAATAGCTGGAAAACTTTTTATTTTAAAAATGTGATTTTTAAATGAATTTTTTAAAACAAATATTTTTAATAATTATAAACATTTGTGCATTTTTTAAAAAAAAATTTTATTTATTGTCTAGAAACAATATTCAAAAATATTATATGCATAATATATTTTTATGTTAAATAAATATATTATATATATTGTTAAAGTTAATAAAATAATGATAAATATCAATATATACTGTATGTTAAACATGTTATTTCAAAATTTATATTAGTTGAAACTTAATGTATAGTTATCACGAAAGTAATATTCAATAATCAATTTTATAATAAAATAATACATATAAAAATTTTTAACTTTAATATATATATATATATAATTTCATTCAAATTTAAAGTCAATAATTAAAAAATTTAAATAAAAATTATTTTTATTTTAAATTATATAAATTTGGTAATTAACTTTTCAAATTTTATAAATAAAATTATATAATTTTTAATTACAAATTTCAAAATTAAGAAAACAAAAAACTTATAAATCTTTTAAATAAAAGTTTCTTTAAAATAATTGACAATGTCAAATTATCAAGTTTTATTTTTTTCTATATCAATAGTCAATATAATTAATCTCACTTTTGATACATGCAAATTTTATTAAAATAAAATTTGGAATAATAAAATTTACAATTTTTAACAAAGTACTTAAAGTATTATATAATATATAAACAAAATAATTAACTATATCTATTACATTATTATCTTTAAAAATATAATAAAATAAAAATCAAAGTTTTAAAAACAGATCAAAATATTATCTTTCATAATATAATCATTTACAAAATTTTTAATATTCTAAAAATTAACAATAGTTTAATTAATAAAAATATTTTTACTTTTGCAATTGTATTATTATTTTAAAAAAATATAAAATATTTAATACTATTAGTTTAAATATTTATTTAATATCAATTGATATTAAAAAATAGTTGCAATTAGGGCTCCGAAAAAGTACCGAACTGGTATCGAACTGGTACCGATCTATAGTAAATTTAATATATAGGTTGTGACCTACTTATATGTTTTTATAGTAAATTTAAGTATCGAACTGGTATCGAAGTAGTATCGAGGTGGTATCATTAGAAGCCCTAATTGCAATGAATTTAAATTAAAATTTTATATTTTATATAAAAATTGAAGTAAACTTTATTTAATAAACATTTTACATGTAATATCTATTTGCAATTAAAAAAAATCAAATTAAAAAAATAATATAAAAATATTTTTAATTAAATAAAAATTATATAATTAAAATAATAAATTTGTTATTTATATTTTAAAAAAAAAATTTTGTTTTATTATAAAAAATTATATATTACTTGACTTGTAAATCAATAGTATAACATAAAAAAAAATAATATATCTTATACTGGATTCTAGATTCCTCACAATATTAAAATAAAAACAATAGTATCAAGTATAATGTTACAGGAAAAGAACAATCAATAATATGACTTAGAAATTGAGAAAACAACGATCGATGATATGGCTTAGAAATTGAGAAAACGACAATCAATAATATGGCTTAAAAATTGAGAAAACAACGATTGCACATTATAGAGATTACCAAAATGGATAATCGACCCTCAATCTCATTATTTCATTATTTTCTTTATTTCTTTTATTTTCTTTGTTTCCTTTATTTCTGTTATTTCTTTTATTTCTTTTATTTCTTTTATTTTTTTTATTTTCTTTTGCTGTAAGAAAAAGTATAAAAATGATATAAAGAAATATAATAGAAAATAATAAAAGAGTGTTAAAATCGACCTACTTATCGCACTGTTCTGACTAATAAAATCTCTCCAAATCACACAAACTTGCCAAATCTATGCCTCTTTCTGCCTTTAATCCCCCTATTATAACAGATACTCCTGTCGAAGTGTTGTAAAGTCTAGGATTTTGTCGTTACTGCTGATAGACCTCTAACTCATGACAAAAATAAACTAATAAATATTAAAAAAATAATAATTGTAATAATAACAACAACAAAAATAATAATAATAATCAAAATAAAAAAAATAAAAATAAAAATCATAATTATAATTATACTGTAATTATAATTATCATAATCAAAATCAAAATTGAAACCATAAGTACTAAAAATAAGATAATAGTCATCATAATAATAATAGTCATCATAATAATAATTATAATCATCATAACCTTAATGTCATAAATAAATATCAATCATTAAAAAAAACTCTTTCCCGTATACAATTCTTTTTTTAAAAATTTTCTTTTATAGTAATTTTTCTCCAAAATTAAAGAAACAAATATTTTTTTCGCCTTTCAATACTCAAAAGTCCTTAATACTTCCTTTTTCTTCACTACAAGAGCCTCAAGGAAACCAAAAAAGTATACTGATGCATCGGGATGGGACCTCTGGCCAGAGAAAAGTAAGTTTGAGACCTTGCTTTTTCTTTGGTTTGCATGGGGAAAGGCCCATGGCAGTTACTTCTTTATAAATCTTTCTTGGGGTTCTTCCCATTTTCTTTTCTTACCAATACATAAATCTTTTTAAATAACTATACTTTCTGCTTGGAAAACTTCTTTTTATCTCAAAAAACTAAACTTCACATCAAAATTGTTTATATTGTTGACTTGAAGCACCAACAATATATTCAATATTTACTTCTTACTATCGCTCAGCATATTTTGCTGTGCCACTTAAAACCAAAATTTTCACTCAAAAAAATTCTTACCAAAAAACTGTAATCAGTTTACTCCTGTCAACTAATCGATATTTCAAATCTAATCAATCAAACACTACCAAATCTCAAAGCAATTCCGTACAACCAAAACACCACACAACGATCAATATAAACAAATCCTATTTTGGCAGTATCAATCAAAACAAGATTATATCACCAAAAAATAAACTAATCAACATACCAGCAAAAATATTAACAATTCTAACAACAACATATAATCTAAATAACATGTCAACAACACTATTATTTACTTTGGACAATAGCCTGGCCATTTTTGGAAGTAGCACCCTACTTCAGTTAAATGGATCAACCAGTGTAGCACACCTAATCCAAGGCATCCTTTGTATAATAATCAGTTTTTTTTTTATCTTTTTTCTGATCATTACCAAATATCTAAACACAAACAACTATACCACTACTACTATCAACAATGACTCAAGAAACAGCTATCAAGAAAACATGTCATCAACACTGTTATATACTATGAGTTGTAGCCTGGCCATTTCGGAAAGTACAACAGTACTTCAGGGGGATGGAACTATCAGTATGACATTAGGCTTCATTTGTATTATAATTAGTTTTTTTGTCATTTTTCTTTCATTTAGCATTTTCTTTTTTCACTTTTATATTTTCTTAAATTTTATCTTATATAATCCTGAGTAGGTATTCATAGCTGCTCGGCACTATTTTAGATATACATTGGTCTTAATATTTATTTTCCATGTCACTTAGATAATTTCTGTAGGCAAGCTAGCATTAGATTTATTAGCTTAGTAAGTTATATAAGAGATGTTGTCGCTTTCTCCATATATAAATTTTAAACAATTTTACAATTAATAAAGTGATAATGTTTACCTACTTGAAAAAAAAAATAAATATCAATCATTAAATCATTATAATATAATAAATCTAGAAACAAATTATCACACTTACATGTTTAGCAAAATTTTGCTCAAAATCTAAAGAATACATGGTCTCTTTTTTACCCTCAGAGTTATATACTTTCTGTTAAACAGAAAAATATAAGTAATATTGCTTTTAAATAAAACAGCAAAAACCAAAAAAATAAAAAAAAGATTTACTGAGTACAAAGAAATCAACAATTTGCACAGGTCACTACCAATATTATTATTTTGTAATTGTCTCATAGAAGAATGGTTTGTGCTCTGTTAAATATTTGCCATCACTAAAATAAAAAATTTAGAAGAAAATGCCCAAGAACTCTTTTTTTTTTGTTGTAAGAATTATTGTTGTATATATGTATAAAATTATGCAGTGTAATGCTTTTAATATCGTTTCACATCTAGGATTTGATAAACGAACATATGTATAAAGATTGATTAGATTAGTTAGTTAAAATATAATAGAAAACAATAAACCGATAGACTTACCCAATTCGAATATTTAGTGATCCACCGTTATTCATCTAGAAATCAAATCGAAAGAGTTTAGTACTATTCCCTTACATCTGTCTTCAAGTCATCTTTTG